GGGGAGCAGGGGAGGGCCGGGACCCCGGGCTGCCCGGGCGGGGAGGGCTGCGCCCAGGCCCGCCTGCCTCGCCCTTGTCCCCGTCGCTCGACTCGCGTGGGAGAAGGACACCTGTGGAAAGCCGCCGGGAACGTCTCTGCCTGATCGGCCCGCGATGACTGAACTTGGGCTGTGGGTCTGCCCAGCGGTGTGGGCACCGGGCGCGGGGGAACAGGTGTCCACCCCGGCCGGGTGCGGGGGCATCGCGGGCGGAGGCGGCGTTCCCGGCCCACGTGCAGGGTTCCTGGCGGCGAGGCCGGCGACGCGTGTCTCTCGGGACGCCGTCGCCGCGAGTGGCGGCCGGAGCGGTTGCCCCGCGGCTTAGTCCTACCCCTGCCATCTGGGCGCCCTCGCGGCCGGCCCTTTGTGCCTCCTAATCCCCGGACGCAGGAAGCCCGCGGGAGGGACTTCGATCTCAGGGCCTTCCTCCGCCCGCGGCGGCTTTGGACACCTTCGCGGGGCGGTGCGGGGACCCAGTCTGTTTCCCACGCTGACGGGTGGGGTGTGCGCCGTGGGACTTGGCGAGAGGTGGAGAATTCTGGCTTGCGAAAGAAAGCGCGCCTTGGTTCCTCCGGCTGGATGCGTCGTGGACACGTTGGACCTTGCCCGTGGGAGAACTGCCTCCAGGGGAGCTGCCGTGTGCCCCTCGGAGGCGCTCGCCCGAGAGCGAAGTGAGCTTTGGGGCGGGGGGCGGGGCTTGGACTCCGCGCCCCTTCCCACGGGGATCCGTGTGTCGCTGCCGGCCGCCTCAACCGGGCTCCAGGGACCCCCTGCAGGTGTTTGTAACTCCAGGTCCTGTCAGGCTGCTGAGGGGATGCAGAGCAGGGAGGGGGAGGGGGAGAACGGGTGTGTCGAGGTGACAAGGAAACCTGGTGGGAAGCGCTAAGCTGGGCCACCAAGGTCAGAAGTGACATTTGAGGAAGACAGTCTGGATCTGTGTAAGCAGAGGCAGGGGAGGGGTCGTGGGAGAGAGAGTTCAACTTCTTTATTTTATGGACAGGGAATGTGGGTTTAGTTTTCTTAAGTGGTCTGCCCACAGTGCTTGCTTGTGGCTGTCAGGACCCAGCTCTTGGGGCTCTGACCGGAGCTCACTCCTTTTCTCTGAAGCTTAAACGGGACCAGTCTCGGTGGGGACCCCTGGACAGGGTTTCCAGGGTCTGGAGTCATGCTGCATTCCTAGTCTTCCTTGAAACAGTGGAGTGTTCCCTTTGGAAGCAGTTTTTTTGAATTTTTAAAAATGTTTATTTGTTTATGCAGACAGGGTCTTGCTATGCTGCCCAGGCTGGCCTTGAACTCCTGACCTCAAGTGATCCTCTTGCTTTGGCCTCCCAAAGTGCTAGGATTACAGGTGTAAGCCACGGTGCCCAGCTAGTAGCAGATTAATATTTTTTTTTTTTTTTTTTTTTTTTTGAGTTGGAGTCTCACTCTGTTGCCCAGACTGGAGTGCAGTGGCTGCAGTCTTGACCCGCTGGGCTCTGGCGATCCTTCCGCCTCAGCCTTCCAAGTACCTGGAACTACAGGTGCACACTACCATGCCCGGCTAGTTTTTGATTTATTGTAGAGATGAGGTCTCACTGCCCAGGCAGGTCTCGTATCCGTGAGCTCAGGCAATCCACTCACCTTAGCCTCCCAAAGGCGCAGGATTACAGGCTGAGCCACCGAGCCCAACTAGATTAATATAATTTTAATTATATTAAAATAACACTTAGCAACTTTTTAGTACACAACAGCTTGAAAAGAAAAATAAAAAATCCCATAGGGCAATCCCCTCGGGTCCCCTCCCACTGTGGAAACTTTTTCTGTCCTCTCAATCCTGCTTTCTCACTTTCTGGAAGAAAAAAAAAGGCCCATAATTCCAGGTGACCTCTGTTTATTTAAAAAAGTAGAAAATATAATAGGAGCCTAAGTGGGAAAAGTGAAACATTTTAGAAAGTATAAAATAGACCTGTCATGATGGCTCACACCTATAATCCCAGCTTTGGGAGGTTGAGGTGGGAGAATCTCCTGAGGCCAGAAGTTCAAGACTAGCCTGGAGAACACAGCAAGATCAAGTCTCTATTAAAAAAAAAAAAAAAAAAAAAGGGGCCGGGCTC